AGTTAATAATAAATTTTCATAATTATGTAGTGATGTATATATATTTATTATTTGTTACAGCCAAAGTAGCGAAAAATACTTGAAAAAAATTGCGAGACAACCATAGGGAAGCCTTAAAAAGACAGAAGGATGGAAAAAGTGGTCAAGCTGCCAACAACACGCGTCTTTGGAAATTCCAGAAAGTTATGGAATTCCTTGTTCCATACATGCAAAATAGGAACACAACTGGAAATTATTCCCAAGATAATTCACAGGTGTCTCAAGAAAGTAATCATACCATTAAAAACATAACTTGTAAAAAAACCAAGTCTCGCAACTCAGTTCTTCTACCGTAAAAGTTGTGAGATCCATGTAATACCAAGTCGGTTAATTTATTCAGTTCCTACTTAAGGGTCCTTCTGTTTTAAGTTATTACGTAATTAGCTAACCTAACAACATTTTGTAGTAACCATATCAATGTTAAAAGTCTTTTATGTTTTAAATATATAGATTGACTTGGCCAAAATTCAGGCTTCTAGTTTTATTGACCATGAAGTTATAAGGGGTCGAAAATGGCCTGAATTTCTTCGAGAAAAGATGGTACGGCCGTGCCGCTTTTTTGCTCGACTTGGCGGGGGCACTGCCGCGCCCCCAGATACTCAAGTTTCGGATTTGGACGAGGACAACTTTGAGGTAGAAAACGAAAATGAAAACAGCCAATCTTCTAATATAACTGTTGCAAGTTCCGAAATCACATAACAAAATACAAGCACACCTTTAACACGAAAACGTGTACATAGTGTTCAACATGAAATTTTAAATTTTGTTAAGATCCAGCAAACAGACCGAGAGAAAAGAAAAACAGAACGTGATTTGAGAAACCAAGTAATTGACAAAATGGACGACATCGATCATTTTTTTCTTAGTGTTTGTGAAAGTACAAAAAAATTACCCAAACCGGCACAGCTTCGTCTTAAGAGAAAGATTTTTAATTTAGTTACGGAAGAAGAAGAGTTAAACATTTACAATGATATGTATGCATCTTAGAGTTATAATAGTGCCTTAACTAGTACTCGAGGGTATACAACAGCTCAAGGTGTCCAATCCTCAGATACCAATTGTCATACATTACACAATGTGTTTACATCTCCAAGTAGTGCCTCAAATCAATCTGTAGGAGGATATACAGCTAAACAAGATGCCAATGACCTTCCAGTCGGTGGGAACACCGTGTTCGGACCGTATGCAAGAGAGGAGGCCAATGCTACTTCGCTAATTGATTAATTTAAAAATTCTTAGCGGTACCATTTTAATTTCATTTTTGCTAAGTACTTGTTTTTTATATAATGTAACATTAGTGAAGATAATGAACGTTTTTTACCACTGTTTTATTATATTGACAAGTCACGCACGCACTACGTACATACTAGAGTACTGCCGCATTGCATGTAAAGTTTTGAAAAGATATGTCAAAATAGGTTCACATCTTACCATGTAAAATTTTTATGAATTATTATTCTACATACAAAATTAATTACTAATACATACACGAGGGGAAAATGTAAAGAGAAAATTGCCTTATATTGTGCATTCAAATAATTTACTTACCTCAAACAGATTGCTAATTTCTCTTCTGTGCTTATGGCTTTTTTTACAGTCAATTTTGTTTTTTATATATGGACTTATTAACGAATGTAAATAATTAAAATGATTTTTAGTCGTTCGCAAATATTTAAAAAAATCGTCTTCAGTGGCAATATTCTTTAGAAAATTAAATTCTCCGTATTTGTCACGTATGGTGTGTGGTAACAAGCTACCGTGACTGGACTCTTTTATCCTCTCGTCAGTCCAAAACCTTCTAAAGGTTGCTGTCAAAAAGTACGCATCTGTCCACAACCATCAGAAGGTTGCTGTTTACTTATAAACTTCAGATTCGAAACAGCCCTAGTAAAAGTATACGTATCTCCCTATAACTAGTACAACATGCAGAGAATTAAACAAAGACGGCAATTAATATCACATACGCTTCATATATGAACCATAGAAGCTTTGAAATAGTAATACATTTATTCCGTTCAGTTGCTCGTTCTGTGACGCGGTGTCGTGTGTTTACGTGCAAAGTATTAATTGTTGAAAGTGATTTCGGAAGTTAATATTAAAGATAAACATGAATGGGTAAGTCATAAATACTTTTTTATTAATTTAAAACATATTAGATGACGATTTGTACATAAATTATTCCATTTTATCAAACATTGCTTGCCATTTCGACCGCCATGTTGATACCATGTTCGTATTAATTTCAATTGTTTTAAATTAAAAGTACAATTGTGAATGGTAAACATTGTTTTAGTATCGTTAACATACATATTTACAAACATAACAATAATTACAATTGTATAGTTTCGATTAAATCTTTAATAAAACTAAAAATAACAAATTGCTTAAATATCGTGTCCACCTAGCGGGCGCGGACAGACATGGGTCGTAAAGTTATTGACATGAAATCCGCCATCTTAGAGAGCAGGTTGTATAGTATGGATACGATTTTGGGAATGCCAGTGTCGGTATATTTTTGCGATAATTTTTGGTGTGGATTTTTATTTGTTTTTCTTATTTGTTTTGTTTTATTTTTTGTCAGTAAATTGTTTTACTTTTTGTATGTGCATGTCATTATATTTTTTTGCACTTGATTGACAAGTGAAACAAGACGACCGAGGACTCGCGGTTTTTATAATAACATTCGAATGTTAATTAAAAACATAAAAAAGCAATGAAAAATAACTAATTTGTATTTCATTTTAATTTTATATTCATGATTATAATTATTAAAGAAGTCACCACAGAGCGTATCCATACTAGCATAGCAGCGTACTACGTCATACTTGGTACTTTTTGTAGTGAATGTGTAACTTTTAGTTGTTGATTTCTAACATAATTTTGTATGAAAGATGCCTTCTTTGTTTTGTTTTTAACTTAGGAAATGTTATTAAATTTAGGAATATACATTCACATTTAAATAAATCACAAAATTGTTCCTTACAATTGCAAAAGTTAGAAAGCATTTTTTTAGGGTCACTTTTTCAAGTGTTTGTTACAACTCATTCATTTCTTAATAACTAAATAGTTGTAACATTTGAAACTGTTTATATTAAGAACAAAGACCAAACTATAGAATAAGTTAAGATTTAAAGCCCATTCTGCATCAGGCGTCGTCGATATTGAAGTACAAAATGTGCCTTTTTTTGTGCCTGTTTCGGTTCATCTTAAGTGGCCCACATTATTGTCGAGCTTGTGATGTGAAAAAACTGTACGTAGAGTTGTGTTTTTTTTATTCATTATTGTAAAGTGTGTTTTCGTATAGTAAATGAAGTAAATATTTATTGAAATAATTGCTTAATTTTTTAATGATTACATTTTATATTCAACAAACTGGAAAAAAATCGCTTCTAGCAATTTTACCATCGAATTTATAACATACCAAAAGGGTGAACGTACACATTTACATATATTCTATTAGCTTATTTAACAATAATTCTAACAACATATCATATTATATAGTTTCCATACATAAATATTAAGATATTTCCATTTTAATAACACGCGCCACGTAGGCAATATATCACTCGTTTAGGGTTTGACAGATGCGCCTAAGCGGCTATTTTGGCCCGGACTGCTGAGAGGTTATCGACAAAATAACACATAAAATACCCATATCCGCTTCTTCTTCACTTTCATCTTCATCGGATTCAACTATGTCGTAATGTTTACGTTTTTTTGAAAATAAAGTCATTTTTGACGAGATAAACTACTACACGAGCTGCTGATTACTTTTATACAGCGCTAAGCAAAGCGCAGCACAGCTTGATGTTGATTGTTAAAAACGAAGCCTAAGAAACATAGCACAACACAGCGCAGTACAGCGCAGCATAGCTCGATGTTGATTTGTCACCCTTAAGCATAGGTACAATAACTCACTGCATAGCTTGGGTCTTGTATGTGGGATCACAGAATATACAACAATAGAATTATCCGATGGAATACTGAGCAAATCATGTATAGATCACATATATGCTAGATATCTCAGCCAAGACCTTTTCACTGCAGCTATAGGAACAACACGGATCATCGCGCAGTGATGCTTGCATGCGTCGGGCCGTATGTACAGGCTGTGCCAAAATTTAAGATAAGCATCAATAATACGAATTTCATGACATCATTAAATGATATTAATTATAGATAATAAATTGGGAAAAAACAAATAATATGACATGCCCCTTAGCAATATATAAATTTATAAATAGTAGTTTTACAAAATGCTATGAAAAATCTAAATTTCAAATAAAAATACAACCTAATATAAAACGAATAACGAACAATTGGATAAATAAAAAATTATAATGGTACATGCACAAAGGGATATATTATTTACACGTTGGATTAAGGATACCGGCAATATGATTTTAAATAAAGAATTAAATAAATCAAGAAATTATGCTAATAAATTAATAAATAATACCAAAAACAATAAATTAAGAGCTGAAATTAAAAACAGTACAAATAACCCTAGGCACTTGTGGCAAATACTAAATAAAATAACAGGTGGATTCTTTCTCGCGCTGCTGTGTGTGTTGGTTCTGTGTTAACACTTTTCTATACGTTTGGTAACTACCCTCCTAAATAAAATTTCAATACGAAAAGAAAATGACTAAATGTGACATCTGTAACAAAAGGGATAACCACAAAATTACCCGGACTGGAATGCAGATCCTGTGGCAAGGTGGTTCATGCTAGTAAAGCTTGCTCTGGTCTCAACGCGAAGCAACTACCTGCGCTTCGTAATGCGGACAGAGTAGATTGGACATGCGAAGAGTGCCATCAGAATACACCTAACAGAAAGTCATCCTTCATTATTTCGGAAGAAGACGATGACGACAATGATGTCGCGGTCTCTGACAATAACTCAGGCAGTTGTATTATAGAGACAGAGAAAGAAGTTTTTAAAAGATATAACAGCAGAAATGAAAAAAGTTTTAAAGAAAGAACTTCAACCAATCGAAGCATCAGTGAGCTTCTGTTGTACAAAAATTGATGATCTTTCCAAAATTGTGGAAGCTCAAAACGAACATATCCAGGAATTAGAAAAGAAGTACAACTACCTTCATAACGAAAAAACCCATCTTGAGCTTGAAATGAGCTCACTGAAACAATATCTACGTGATATTGAACAGCGTTTAGACAATGTGATAGAAGTGATAGGTATTCCTAAAGCTAAAGACGAAAACCTTGTGAACATATCTCTCAAACTAGCTGAGACACTCAACATGGACAGGACGCAGGTAGTGAATATTACACATGTAGAAGGTCGAAATAATCGAGATGGAAACATCCAGGTGCAGTTCAAGCATGCAGAAAATGTAAGCTTATGTGTGCGAGCCTCGAAAAAAGAAGCAGTAGTGATAGAACAAAGCATCTCCGAGGCCCCCGTGGAAGTTGCTAAAATGAAAGTGACCATACGACGCGCCCTGACCAAAGCCAATAAGTCGTTATTATGGCTAGCACAACAAAAACTAAGACCGGCCTACAAATACGTCTGGTTCGAGGATGGAAAGGTGCTACTACGTAAAGACGACAAATCCAAGCCTAAGGTCGCTCGAAGCGAAGCTGACATTGAGAAGCTCTCAGCATTAACGGAAATAATCGGCCAAAGTTCCAAGCGGTAATAGATTTCAAAATTAGTAACCCAAGTCATCTTTTCTGATCATCAAGAAACATTAAATTGTGCAGATATTAACAAATTTCGCTGACATATACCCCCTATTTATAAAATCTATCTTAATATTGTCCATATTAACATAAGATCTTTGATAAAAAATTTTTGCTATGTAACACAATTAATTAACTCTTCTAAAATGATTATTGATATTTTAATCTTAAGCGAAGTAAACATAAATAACAATATAGTTTCTATGTTTGATATTAATGGCTATCGAATGCACATCATGTTGCGCAAAAATAGAAAAGGCGGTGGTATAATTCTATATGTTAGGGATGTTCACTCATTCGCGCCAGTAAGTTACTCGTTAATACACTGTAAGATTATTATCGGTAAGATCACTACGCCTTACAAATACTCCGCTTACATCTGTGCTGTTTATAGACCACCAAGTGAGAGTAAGCACCTATTTGTAAAGGAAATAAGTAGCCTATTATCAAAATCTATGTTTCAACTATGTGTCACTTATCTCTTAGGCGACGTTAACATAGACTTAAAAACATGCGACAACATCCGAGACTACTACATTATTAGTATGTCCAAGAGCGGTCTAGCAAGCGCGATATCCGATTAAACAAGAATTGAAATACGCAGTAAGCAAACAACTCGCATTTGCATAGATCACATTTTTACTCGTACCTGCTCGTTAGATCTGTACTCGGCCGCGCTCGGAACTGTACTAGCTGACCATCGCATGATTATACTCTCGTGCGTAGGATCCGACCAAACACAAATACAGAGTGATACAAAAATAATTCAATAGATTGATAATCACAAAATTAAAAATTTACTTAATAATCTTTGGATTGGAGCGAAGTCAGAGATACAGAGTGTCCAAATAAAATTTACAATTGCATCAAAAATAAATTCAATGATTGTTACAATGATTCAAAATATATCAAAGAAAGTAATAAAATAAGTAATAGAAATAAATACCCCTTGATAAATCGTAAAATTAATAGCATGTGTAAAAAGAAGGACGAATTATTCATTAAATGGAAAAATGATCCCACGGACAAAATACTAAGATTAGAGTATAATAAATTAAGGAATAAGACACGTAAAATAATAGAAAAGTGTAAAAATAAATATTATATGGTATATAAATAGTAATAAAATGAATCTTAGAAATCTATGGCAAATTTTGAATACACTCTCGGGTCGAAACAAAATTCAGTTGATGAGGCATTATTAAAAACATTTACTAAGAATAATATTGACGCAAAATCAATACCTAATAACTTTGCAAAAGAATTTAGAAATTGTGTTAAAAAATCCTGCCAAAATAGGCTTAGGAACTGATACTCTCGTAGTAGAGGCTTCTAGATGAATCAGAATATATGTTCCCCGAAAATAAATCTATGTATTTTAAAAGAGCCTCAAATGAAAGTGTGGCGAAGATTGTAAAAAACCTTAAAATCAATAAAGCTCCTGGAGTGGATAATATCCGATGTGTCGACATCCAATCTATCTCTGATAAGATGATAGGAATTATTGTTAAATTAATAAATAATAGTAGACGCCAAGCAAAGTATCCAGATGAATTAAAAATAGGTATTGTGAGACCGATATGTAAAAAAGATAGTCACAGTGATTATGCCAACTATAGACCAATTACTATCCTACCAGTCATTGACAAGATAGTAGAAAAATACGTTTGTAATCAGATACAAGACTTTACATTAAAAATGATATCCTATCAAACTCACAATACGGTTTTCAACCTAACAAATCTACCTCTAAACTGCTGCCAAAATTTACAAATGATGTAAACAAATATCTAGATGACAGAAACCACGTAATTCTGTTATTCGTAGACTTCAGCAAAGCGTTTGATACGCTTCGACACGATATTCTCTTAAAGAAACTAGAGAATACCGGTGTACGCGGTCCAATTTTAGATTGGTTCAAAGATTACTTCAATAATCGCAAAGATAAAGTTAAAATTTGTGATGAAGTCAGCGACGGTATAGATGTTACTGAAGGAACAGCTCAAGAGTCGGTACTTGGACCCTTGCACTATTTAGCATACGTCAACGATATGGAGCATTTTGTCAACCATTGTTCCGTTTATTAATACGCAGATGACACGTGCCTTTTGGCGGCCAGCAAAGATCTAAAAGAAGCAGCTAAATGGCTGCAGCAGGATTTTACACAGGTATCCAAATGGTCACATGATGCGGGACTTGTCTTGAATGCAAATAAAACCAAAGTGATTCACGTTCACTCAAGCTATCTAAAACACAACACGTATTTTAAGATCGTTGCTCACAGTCACAGATGTCTGTACAAATCGACTTCATCTAATGCTTGTAAATGTGAGGCAATAGAACAAGTAACGGCATCACACTTACTTAGGACTAATTACAGACAATAGATTTAGCTGGAGATTTCACATAGATTCTCTCTGTGAGAAGTTACGAGCTATAGTGGCTAAATTCTATATCTTAAAACCTAAAGTACCGTATAAAGTCCTACTGAATATATATAAAGCCTTAGCTGAGTCAATTATATCATACGGAATCTCAAGTTATGACGAACCTTTAAGTCATATACTGAAAAAATATATAAACTACAGCTAAGATTACTTAAACTTATTGTACCCCAAAAAATAATACAACAATATAAAGAAAACGTATTAGACATTTTTATTACTGTAATATTTTACCTATGCAGATGAAACTTCACATGACCCTATTAATTGAACAATTCAATAATAAAAGCATCCAAGTACCCGTATTTCATACAGTAATTACAAGAAATATTACCAAACAAAAAGTAATTGTGCCTATGATCTCAAATTACTATGGTAGGCTAACTATAGAATTTTTAATCCCAACTCTTATAAACAACATCCCGCAAAACATACAAAAAGATTTAAACACAAAAAACTATAAACAAAAACTCAAAAAATATTATTACGATAATATAAAGAACTTCGTCTTATAAAAGCAATCAGAATCATAGTTATAATTTAGTTTGTATAATAGTGAAACAGCCTGTATAAAGTTAAGTAGTGTGGGTGCCGCTGACACAGCACACACATAATGTAAATGTAATTAGCATGAAATACAATAACAACCGTTGCCAGCGGGACGGCAGTCTGTAAGTCGGTTAGCTAGAGTGCGGTAGGCAGTTCCTTTCTAAGTGTGTCATGTGAACACGCAACTCTGATGTACAAAATAAATCAGCTACACGTATGTGAACCGTTACTTCATTTTCCTCCCTGCACAAGCCCTTAAGATACACTAGCCACCAAACCTATACACAACATTGGTGACCCCGTGTTAGGACTTGTGTGGGGGCGGAATTAATATACGTCATGCCGCGAGATACCACGCTACGATGGCTCAACCAACGCCAATTCCGCCGCCGTCCACATCTTCATTTTCACCGGGCGAAATAGCCACCATCGGCCAGGCGTCGCGTATCCCACCATTTTGGACCGACATGCCTAAAATGTGGTTTCTACGCCTCGAGTCAGTAATGGGACCACAACACCAGGGGGAACAGGTCAAGTACGATATGGTAGTCAGCAAGTTGGGCAAGGAGGAGCTCAGCCAAGTAAGTGATCTCATAAGCAATCCACCGGACCAAGGACGCTACACTGCACTGAAAACCAGGCTCCTCAGAGTTTTTCAAGCCAGCGCCGAGGCCCAATTTAACAAACTCGTGTCGGGAATGGAATTACGGCAGCAGCGACCATCTCACCTGCTAGCCAAGATGAATGAGCTCGCGAAGAACTCCGGTGCTGAAGGCGACACGCTCAAGAATTTGTGGCTAGCGCGACTACCGGCATGGATTCGCGTGATCTTGGCCACCAACAGAGCAGACACGAAACTAGACGACCTCGCCGAGATGGCCGACAAGGTGATGGACAATCTACGCAACGGGGAGCTGTTGGCCGTGAACACCGGCTCGACCCGCAGCTCGTCATCGACCCCAACCGTGGCAGAGGTGAACGTGGAGCTGCTGACCCAAATGAAGACCATGGTACTGGAGCTCAAGACGCTGCGCAGTGAGGTAAACGCCATAAACAACCGCCGTCATAATAATGGTGGTAGGCGATGGGTGCGTAACCGTTTCCGTTCCAGGAACCGTACGCCGCAACGGACGCCACGCAGTGAAGATTGGTTGTGCCGGTACCATTTCCGGTACCGCGAGGCGTCACGATGATGTGAGTCTCCTTGCAATTGGAAGAAGACCAACAACGCCAGCAAGTCGGAAAACTGAAGAGGGTGCAACCTGATGCGGTGGTAGCATGCATCAACTTCACAGAAAACCATCGCTTGTGCGTCACGGACACTAAAAATGGTATGAATTTTCTCATAGATACTGGTGCAAATGTGTCGGTCATACCGGTGACTAAAACTAAACAAAAATATCGAAATCAGGTCGAAACTAATTATAAGTTATTTGCTGCAAATGGCACAGAAATAAGTACATATTGTGTTACGACGTTAAACGACGCAGTTTTAAATGGCCATTCATTATATGTAACGTAAGTAAACCATTAATAGGCGCTGATTTTTTTAAAACGCACCGATTATTGGTAGACTTACATAACAGGAAATTAGTAGATAATGTAACTAATTTATGTACGATAGGGACCATCGTAAGTTATAGTGAGCCGACAATAAATAGCATTCAGGAATCGCATCCGTTTCGTGACTTACTGGAGGAATTTTCTGATATTACCAAGCCCGTCTCCTTTAAAGAAACGCCGCCGAATCACCAAGTTAGGCATGATATAGATACCACAGGACCGCCGGTCTATGCCAAGCCGCGACCTTTACCGCCGGGTAAGTATTAAAAGGTAAGGAATGTTTTTCGTCATATGCAGTAATTAGATATTTGTAGACCATCCAGGAGCCAGTGGGCCAGCCTTCTACATGTCGTGCAAAAGAAACACGGTCAGATGTGACCCTACGGAGATTATCGTAGACTCAATGCAGTGACGAAACCGGATTGGTACCCTGTACCGAGGCTCCAGGACTTTACATTTGGGTTGACAGGTAAGACAATATTCACACGCTTTGATATCAATAGAGCTTATCATTTTATTGAAGTGGCACCAGAGGATGTCGAGAAAACAGCCATCACCACCCCCTTTTGGTTTGTATGAGTTCCCACGCATGGGCTTTGGTTTGAGAAATGCCTCCCAAACTTTCCAGAGGTTTATGGATAACAAGGTTCTGAAGGGAATCGAAAATATTGGCGAAATAGGTAATGAATATGAGTCATAACTTTTTTGTTACATTGATGACGTCATCATAGCGTCGCGAAATGAAGTCATCCACCGAAAACATGTCCGAAAAGTATTCGAGCGATTCCATAGCATCGGGTTGACCATAAATCTAAGTAAGAGTTTGTTTGAAAAGAGCGAAGTCGATTTTTTTAGGTTACAAAGTTACTCGGTCAGGAATAAGCCCTTTGCCCGACAAGGTCAAGGCGATTCTGGACTATACAAAGCGTCAGACAGTCGACGAGCTACGACGTTTTTTAGGTATGGTAAATTTCTACAGGTCACATTTGCCCAAAGCAGCTGAATGTCACATGAATTAAAACAAATTTTACATAACTCAAAAAAGAAGGACAATACGAAAATTGACTGGGACAGTGAAGCTGACCACGCATTCGATTCGTAAGTTAGACCTGCAAAACGCCGTAACATTATCACACCCAGTGCCGGACGCGCAATTGTCATTAATGACCGATGCCTCGAACACCTGTGTAGGCGCAGTGCTGCAGTAGAAGATCAACGGTATTTGGCAGCCACTCGGGTATTTCTCAAAGAAACTATCAGATGCTCAACAAAAATATAGTACGTATGACAGAGAACTGTTGGCTGTGTACATGTCCATTATGCATTTCAAAAATATGATAGAAGGACGGGAATTGACCGTGTACACAGACCACAAACCTCTGACATACACACTTACAAAGGTAAATTCCAGTAAAGATACTCCTCGACGAATTAGACAGTTGTTGTATATTAGCAAGTATACCAGCAGTATACAACATGTCAATGGTAACAATAATCTAGTCGCAGACAAGTTATCTCGTATTGAAACTATCGTTTGTCCAACGGTCATAGATTACGAGGAATTAGCGACAGCGCAGGAAGCCGACGTTCAAATTTCGCAAATACTGCAGGATGCCGGCGCGTCGAATAAGGTACAGTTAAAGCGAATTGTTATTTCCAGCGTTAATAAAAGTATATACTGTGACGTCGCAAGCGGTAATATCAGACTTTATATACCACCATCATTTAGGAAAGCTGTTCGAATCTATACATAACATCAGCCACCCAGGTATTAGGACTATGGTTCTATCTATGGTTGCTAAGAGGTTCTTTTGCCTAATATGAACAAAGAAATAGGATTATGGGTAAAAACATGCATACGATGCCAAAAAAGCAAAGTAATACGTCATGTTGTTACAGGGATAGGTTCATTCGAACCCAGTGAACGTTTCGATCATATTCACGTGGACATTGTAGGCCCGTTGCCTACAACGCGCCATAATAATAAGTATTGCGTCACGATTATAGACCGTTGCACACACTGGCCCGAGGCAATACCCGTTGAAAATATCACCGCTGAAACCGTAGCTAAGGTTATATATGAGAACTGGATATGTAGATTTGGGTGCCCTAGTAGATTAACTAACGATCAAGGTAGACAGTTCGAAAGCACTCTTTTTTTCAAACCTATTAAAGTTACTAGGACTTCGTAGGATTCGAACCACACCTTACCATCCTCAGAGTAATGGGATAATAGAGAGATGACACCGTAGTTTGAAAGTCACTTTAACGAGTAGGTTATCAGAAAGTGAAACATGGGATGACGAATTATCCACAGTTTTATTCGGATTACGAGCCGCCAGCCGTTGTGACACAGGCTTTAGTGCAGCCGAGTTAGTCTACGGGCAATCATTACGCTTACCAGGCGATTTTTACCGTGAGGCGAGTCCAAAGTAAAATGGGGACGATTACACGTATGTTGAACGATTGCGAAAAGTTATAAGTAATATCCGTCCTAAGTCACGAGGCGCAAGCAATTCGCGGAAATTATTTGTCTGTAAGGACTTGAATAATTGTAGTCATGTTTTCATAAGAAATGATGCGATTAAAAAACCTTTAACACCTACTTACGATGGTCCCTACAGCGTTCTAAGTAGAAATAATAAGGTATTTAAGGTACAACTTCCTAATAGGTAGGTCAATATTTCAATTGAAAGATTGAAACCAGCATATATAGTCAATTCAGAAACTAATAATTTAAGCACAAATAATAATGAATGTCAGAACGCGAACACAGAGAGTAAAGTAGATAATAAGTTTATTCCTTGTACCACACGGAGTGGCCGAGTAGTAAAGCCATCTGTGCATTTTTTGTAATCTAGGTCTTAAGCAAATTTAATTTTATGTAATTTTGCATATTTAGGTAAAAGTTTACTTAGAAAGGACAATAATTAGCAATTATTATATAAACAATTCTAACAGATTGACACATCTTTTATGTAAAAATTACATTTCCAAAAATTTTTATGACTATTTTTAATAACATGGGCAAGCAACAGTCCAAGAACGCGGTTTTCCGTTTAGATGTGGTAAAACTAATATTACTTTTGTAATCTATAGATTATAAGGAATAAATCGACATGCATTTCATTGCGTGACGCGAAAATTTGTGGTGGGCCCATTCTCCATACAAAAATTGATTGTCTTCTTTATGTACATCAGTAGTACCAAAAACAGAAGCGACGAGATACCCAAACTAATAGCTCATAGCCACCAATGCTCACACACTAAAAGCGTTCAATGTAGCTGTGTCAAGATTGATGTAGTGGAACAACATACTTACCTTGGGCTTATAATCGATAGTCACCTTAGCTGGAAAGGGCATATTGACCATATATGCGACAGACTTCGAGGAATTCTGGCCAAATTCACATTAATAAAATACAAAATACCATACGATATAAGAATACAATTGTATATTTCATTAGCAGAATCTATAATATCGTATAGTTTTTCTAGCTATGGTAGGACCTATAAAACACACCTAGACTGAATTTACACCTTACAACTCCGTATTTTAAAAACTCTAGTACCCAAAAAGTGTTACAAACAAATTTAAAAACCTACAACATAATATCTTTGAATTCTGTAAAATATTACCTGTACATAATAAAGTAAAGTATATATTACTTATTGAAAATTACTTTAATATGCAAATTCCAATACAATATAATTTTAACACACGACAGTCACAGAACCTTGCATTACCAAAATACATAAATCTATATGGAAAACGAACATTAGAATACATGATTCCCGATATCATAAACAAACTTCCATCACAACTAAAAAAAAACAAATTAATCAACGCAACATCAAAAATATGTTAAAGAATTACTTCTTAAGTAACTTATAATAACTATAAATACTGTAAAATGAAAATAATATATTATAAGTTACACATTAATACTATAAAAACTAATGTTACACTTACAATAATAATTAATAATATAAAATAAGTTTATCTTTAATATCATTAATTAGTATCAAATTATTTGAACAGCCTGTACATACGAACTTGACGCGTCAAGCTTGGTAGGCAAATAACGCCACCGAGAGCAAACCGGTTTATTGACTGAAACGGGGAGCGCGGTTCAATGATTGCATCACAACAATAAGATGTATGACATAATTATTAGGCATAATAATTATCATGCTATGTATGTTAATGGCATCGGTATACGGTAAAGCTGTATAGCTTATGTTTATACTGTAAAATACCAATCTAAATATTATAAAATTATTATCAAATAAATAAATAAATAATAATAAATTGAAAAAAAAAACGGCCAATTCAAGACGTTCATTACGGATCTTAAATCGGAATTTCAAAAAAGGTTCGCAGATTTTAAGAAAATTGAGAATGTTGTAGAAATCCTCTGTTTATCAGAAAAAATATCAAAGTCACATGTTTTGCAGAGCTGGTTATATTGCCTCTGTAACCTGTTTAAGGCGGCGTGGCGACCCAAATTAGTTTTACTGCCGTCAACTGAAAAGGGGACGTATCGGCTGACACGCACTAGCTTAAAAGGTACCTTGAAATTTATTGCACTTAGTACTTAGCAAGGTACCTTGAAATTTATTACATTTGTTATGGACAGTCTACGGTTCCATTGACTATTTTGTGTAGCAACATGAAATCCAGCAAAAGCCTCCGCTCTTGCAGGCTACTTAATTTAAAATACGTCAGTCGGTCTTCGTATGAGGGTAGATCCTTTATTTTGTAAGTTTGGTACGAAAGATACAACAAAAAACGCTTCTGATACGCTCTATGCGTTTCACGTAAATGTCATAAAATGGAGACCAGACCTGACTACAGTATTCAAGTCTGAAACGGACTAAAGACTTGTACACGGAAATTTTTGTAGAGGTCCTCTTAAATTCTTTAGAATTACGCAACACAAACCCCAACATTTGAAGACCCCTTGTAACAATCCCATCAACGTGTTTATGAAACCGCAACTTTTTGTCCAGAACCACACCCAGATCTCGAACAGAGTCCACTTCTACCAAAAGATGACCATCAATATTATACATAGGTGTCGGAACATTTACACATCTTGAGAATCTTATAATTTTACATTTATCGAGGTTCAAAAATAGTCTGTTCTTAACGCACCACAAAGACAACCGGTTCAAATCCTCTTGCAATAGGAGTGAGTCATTGTGGTCTTTGATTTTCAAGGACAATTTCATGTCATCTGCGTACATAAAGCAGGTCGCGTGTTTAAAAACAGACGCTAGGTCATTTATAAAAATATTGAAAATAATCGGACCGAGATGGGAACCCTGAGGAATGCCAGACGTAGGTAGGAATGGTTCTGAGGAGTAACCATTTACCACAACTCTCGATTTTCTCTGCCTGAGGTATGAAGAGAACCATTCGAGAAGATTGCCAGTGATGTCCAAAATTGAGAGTTTGTAAAGTAAGATGTTATGATCTACAATTTCAAACGCCTTACTGAAGTCTGTGTAGATGGTGTCCACAGACAAGCGGGAATCGAGAGACTTGGAGACATAGTCCACAAACGAAACGAGATTTGTAGCTGTAGAGCGAGATGTTAAAAAACCTGATTGTTGGGGTGAGATTATTCGTTTTATGTGCCAACCCAAAACAGGACAAACTAATGATTCAAAAACTTTAGCGAAGACAGACAATATGGATATTGGTCTGTAATTTCTGACGGATTCTGCGTCTCCTGATTTATAAATTGGGACAATACTTGCCTGCTTCCAGACCGAAGGGAAAGTACCTGTTTTTAAAGACATATTGAAAATGGTTGCCAAAGGCAAGGATAACGCTTCGCGGCAGTTGATTACAAACAAAGGAGGTATGTCGTCAGGTCCAGCTCCCTTGGCCCGATCTAGACCAGTAAGAGTTTTGAGTACTTGATCTGTGAGAAGTGCTGATTAGCAAGATAATTTGCTAGCTAGTATTACACACCGATGCGAAAAATTAGGCAAAGAGATTGCATATGCCGTCACCATTATCTGCTTTGTCATCTCCGAAGGTCTAGGTTGAAGGGTAAGCATTGCTATTACGTTTTTAATTTTTTATGAACGTCCAGAATAACTTTGGATTTTTGGAAAGTGCTCCCTCCAGATCCGCGACATAGTTTTTATGACAGGTGCCTATTAATTCGGCGCATCTTTTGCTAAGTGTTTGTAATGCAAGTTCGTCCAGTGGATTTTTGTATTTACGGTACGTCAAACGAAGTTTGTTTTTTCCTTGAGGAGATGTATGAGTTCCTTTGTGTACCATACTGGAAACATTTTTGTGGAGGGTTTACATTTTCGAACCTACTGAGTAATCGTGTCTTTTAAAATACCATAAAATTCTATTACCATGACATCCACTGAACATGAAGATAGTATACGGTCCCATGAAAATGAATTTAAATATGTTATGATTTTATCGTAGTACGTCTTATGAAAGTTATATCTTTGGCTTTGAGCGTTAGGCAATAAACTTGGCGGATCACAACACGTAAATGTTAGAACTAAGGGAGGGTGGTGAGAATCGGGGTTACTCAGAAGAGAGTCACTACGCACCACACCATTGACCTTCAGCGTGCTGGAGAGAACGAGATAAAGAATTCTACCTTTGTCATTTAAAATATAGTTATATTGAGTGAGATTATTAAGAGCAATAAAATCCAGTAGAGCATTATCTATTGAGCTTTTGGTTATGAAACTGAGTGGAGAAGACGTACTACGTTTACCCCAGATAATGTTACCCAAATTGAAGTCGCCCATAATTAATGTTTTTGCACTTGATTCCAACACATGTTAGGGTCCTGGGACGTGGTTAAAATGAAAGTGGACTGTATATTCTTATAGGGAATCTCGTATTTGGTCTTTTTTTAAAATTTTGGTCTCGGTGTACGTGTCGTCCTCCCGCGCGTCTCCACCCGCGCGTATATGCGACCGGTTCCCAACAACACACGATTTGTATTTTCAATGTAACAATCATGAATGTTTTTTTGTAAAGCTGAGGGAAGATATACACAACACAATAATATGTTTTCAGAGGAATTACCTCTTCCGCCTATCTCTAATTCCACGCACAAGACATATAGGAACAGTCGTAATCACCACAGCATAGGCTTACTAGTAAACTTGCCCCTCCCCCTTTTGCCATTTCACTGACAGACCTTGCAGTATCAACACAGTTTTGACTCCCCTTTCTCACATGAGGAGTTATATACTGTTCTTGGTGCCCTCAAAGATCCTTCACCAGGGATTGACAGAATTACTTATTCTTTCGTTACTAAAAGCAGTGAATCTACGAAAACCTATCTTCTTTCTATTTTAAAATATATTTTTATGACCGGTATCCGTCCTGAAGAATGGAAATCCCAAATTATCTTGCCTATTAACAAACCAGGTAAGCCTTAGGCCGGCCATAGACGGACCGCATGTTGCAGTCGAAACCGACTGCAACATGCGGTCGCCGCACGGCGATCTGCAGTTCCCATACTAAATTCATAACCGCAATACACGGACCACTCGAGCAGTTCCTGAGCGGTCGGAGAAGTCGCTCTGCGAGCGAGTTTCGCCGTGCGGTCGACTGCTTAGAGCTGCCGGACCCACAATACACGGACCGCTACAAGCGGTTGCTGCCGACCGCGCGCCACTCCCTCCCCGCTCGCAGCTGAGTACCCATCCCTTCCTCTCGGCAGGCAACCGGTTCAGTCCGCTCCCGCCTCACTCCCCCTACAAACCTCACGCACTCGACTCGCTTCCTTTGTTTATGTTGGTCGTTTGTTCGTTTGTCATCCAAAATGGCGAAAGTTTTCGAAAATATAGACGACGAATTGTTTATTAATGAAATTAAAGAAAATGAATGTATCTGGAACTACAGCAGTGAATTGAACAGTGACAAAATAAAGAAAGATGGTGCATGGAGAGCCTTATGCGAGAAATTTGATCCTGATTTCAACGATAAAAGTGTAAAGGAAAAAAATGATATTGGTAAGTAGGTACACATAATTTTTTATTAAATTTTAGCTGTTTAGCTCAAATATTATTTCTAGTAAACAATCTTAAAGCTGTTATCCGCGGTTTCTTTCCATAATATGCTTGTTATAGTTATATGCTATACTAATTTCCGTTGCCAATCTAATTGTCCTTCTTCACTTACGAAGTAGTCAGCGAATTTATCCCGGATAGAGTTCAGCGCTGGTCCTCCTTGCTGGACGTTTTGTTGCAATGCTTGGTCTTCAAAACCCGTTATTGTCCAACAATCTTCGAAGTTGTAGCCGTCTCTTTCACGCACAAAGTTGTGAAGAATGCAGCATGCTTTGACTATCGTTTTAGATAATTCAACAGACACGTTTAATGGCCGATGGATTATGCGCCATTTGTTAGAAAGTATGCCGAAAGTGCATTCGATGTATCTTCGGGCCCGAGACAGTCTATAGTTAAAAATTCTTTTTTTTTATTGGCAATAGTTTTCCTCCAAAAGGTCTCATAATATTTTCTTGTAAACCGAAAGCTTCGTCGGCGACAAATACGTTAGGCAAAACTGGACCTGTTGTTGTTATTTTTGTAGGAGCAGGAATGTTCAGCGTGTTTCTTTGTAGTTTTTTGTAGAATTCAGTGTCTTCAAATACTGTCGAGTCAGCGTGTCTTCCATATGATCCAACATTTACGAAAGTGAATTTATAGTCACTGTCACAGACGGCCATCAACACTAAAGAAAAATAGTGTTTATAATTATAGTACAAGGAACCGCTATCAGTTGGTTTTATAATTCTTACATGTTAACCATCGATCGCCCCCAAGCAGTTTGGAAAGTTGGCGCGTCTTTGGAAACCACTTTTTATATTTTTCCAGTTATCTTGGGTTAGTGCTTCAAAACAAATATCTTTCATATAAAAGGTGTGTCAGCGCTGATTTTAAACTTTAAATACCAATTTCTCGGCAACCGGCGGGGTTAGCGGGAGGGGAGAGGTAGCGTTCGGTAGGTGATTAGTGCGGGCTTTTTAGTCGCTATGTCCCAGTGGTCTGGCGCGCACCGCGCGTACGCAGTAGAGGCGTATTTTTGCAACGAGTTTTCGCTGAGGAGGGTTTTTATAATCGTGATGCCCCGAGTATTCAGTTAATTAAGTCGTGGGTAAAAAAGTTCAGAGCGACAGGATGTTTAATGAAACATTCAATTGGCCCTCGAATTAGACCTGTTCGATCGATTGAAAACATCGACCGCGTCGCCGCTGCGGTCGCGGAGCATCCACGACGATCAGTTAGAAAACATGCTGCCTCTTTGAATCTTCATCGTTCAAGTATTCAACGAATTTTGGCCTTAGACTTAAAATTACATCCCTATAAAATCCAAATAGTTCAAAAAATCAAACCAGAAGACTATAAGAAGCGAAAAATTTTCTGTCAGAAGATGTTAGGGATTTTTTCAGAGGAAAATGGGATGTCCAATGTTTATTTTAGCGATGAGTCACACTTTCACCTCGAAGGGTACGTCAATCGCCAAAATTGCCGTTACTGGTCACCCAGCAATCCAAAACAAAAAAATTAGAAGGCATTACACAGCCCCAAAGTTACTGTATGGTGCGCAATATCGGCGAAGAAAATCATCGGGCCATTTTTCTTCGAGAATGATCGAGGTGCAACGGTTACAGTGACGAGCGAGCGGTATATCGACATGATTAATAACTTTTTTGTACCGCAGCTGCAAGAAGAGGATGTTGATGAGTCCGGTGTATGGTTTCAGCAAGATGGGGCCACAGCCCACACAGCTAGGGTCTCCATGGACACACTAAAAGCGTTGTTTCCGGGAAAAATCATAAGCCGCTTTGGAGACATATTGTGGCCACCCAGATCTCCCGACTTAACCCCAGCTGACTTTTTTTTATGGGGTTATCTTAAAGCAAGAGTTTTTGATACCCCTCTTATGAATTTAGAGCAGCTGAAGACTAAAATAACGACAGAAGTGAGGGCCATATCAATTGACGTTCTGCAGCGTGTTTCTGCAAATTCGTTAGTCCGCTTTGAAGAGTGCATTCGTCGTGATGGACGACATCTTGACGGTGTAATATTCCGTACATAAAATTCGCACTAATGTACTATAATTTACTACAATTAAAATATTATAAACACAATTGTTTTTTTTTTTTAATATAAATATTCAAAGTTTAAAATCGGCGCTGAGACACCCTTTACTTCCAAATATTTTCGCACACGTCTTTCACTATTTCCCCTATTGTACATGCCGAAATTCTATAGTTGTATTCTAATTCAGCGAAAGTGCACCCTGTTGCCAAGTATCTGTAAAAAAAAAATTATTTCCAGCAAAAGCTCTTCAAAAGAAGTGGAAAGTGTTAAGAGATGGCTTTAGACGTTATGTCAATAAAACAAAAAAAATTAAGGGTGGCTCGGGAGCTATTAAACTACGACAGTATGTTTACTATCATCAGTTGTCATTCTTGTTGCCATTGACGGAGGAGAAAGCTGGTACTGCAGATAGTTTGGAAAATGAATCGACTGAAGATGCAGTTACTGAAGAGAAAATACCACAGCGTGGTCGTAAGAGGACTAGTACGTCCAAAGAAGACAATTTAATTACACAACTGGCGATAAATTTGAATAAAAAATACAACGAAACTACATTTGATGATAAAACCGATGATGACAAATTATTTCTTATGGCTCTACACGGTGACTTTAAAAAAAATTCTGACGACTACAAATTAGATGCTAAGACAGACATACTGAAAGTTATAAAAAAATACGAAGTGTTATCCTCTGACGTCGATTTATATTCTAATCAGACCTCATTACGCTCGCAGTTTAACTATCACCAGCCCTCATACTCGCAGTTCAGCCATCAGTCATCGTCATCCTACTATGATGATTTCAGTAGTGGCTACAGTACTGGACCTCCTCAAGCATCTACCAGTCGACCACTACAAACTGATATCACCATTGGCTACAGCACTGGAGTTCCTCAAGCATGTACCAGCCGACCAGTACAAACTACGAGACTTGAAGAAACAGATGTTTTGTCTCCTGCTGATACTGAAGCATCGCAGTCGTCGATACATAGCATTTTCTGATAATTTGAAATAATACACTGTAATGTTGCGTATAATAAAATTTGTGTAAAAAACATTGTTTCTTACCTTAATGTTACTGCGATCCTTTCTTCAGGTGCAATGCTTTTTCTCATTTTGGAATTTGTCCGTTGTATTTTATGGCTTAAAATACTAACTAATTCATCAAATGAAACCACGGACATTCTAAAATAGTTGAAAAACTTTTTAGCGTCTTCTCTCAGCTGGGGATACAAAGTATGAAATATTCCATGCTGTTCTCTTGATTGTAGTATTGGACGCACCCACATACTACGGTGTCTTCTACGCCTACGCTTGCATAATAGTAGTACAAGAAGCAGCGTTTCTTCATCGAAATCCATCTTGTAAATGAACTCGCATCAGTATTATTTTGCGGTCGAACACAACTGCTCCAAGCAGTCGTAGTCGACTGCATTATGCGGTCGTGTTGCAGTCGTCGTACTATAGATAATACAATTTTCAAATTATAGGATAGCTTCTTCATTCTGTGAAAAACCCCGCGTTGACGGTTAAATTTGTATCTTGTTGAAAAATGTTCTAAAATATGTAGTAAGGCAAAATGTCAATAGAATATGTATGTATTAGAAGTGTGTGCAGTGGAGGTACCAGAAGAAAATATAAGAAATTAAGAGAGGAAGACGCATTCTATAATCGGTTACAGTATATCTTAAACTATATCTATATAAATAAAAAAAATTCTAAACACAATATAATTATAGGAGGTGACTAATATTGATATGTTACAAGAATTGATTAAAACTACTTTTACGGATTTTATCGCGTTTATTTTACTATTATTTTTAATTCCCGACGTTGAGGGCGCTTTCCAGCACCAATGGTCACGGGGGACTGAGATGACTGACATCCCGACGTCATTGTTAAACGGAGCACCTTCAGCTTTTTTAATTATTGTTTATGGTCCGATCTATGCAAAATTAACTATGTCCTGAGGTCTTGCAGTGGTATGCTTGGGTTTAGTTTTAATTTTATTGATTATAGGATCCCAAGCAGGTGGTAGTACCCAGCCTCCTTCTCTATTGAAATTAGGGTGTTTTTTTAATTTCAATAGCCTCACGTATCATCCTTGGTAGGAATCGGTGTTGTTTCGCGAGGATTTGTGGTCTATCAAATCTGATGTAATGGTTGGGGCCGCCTAGGATATGATCGCAAACTGCAGACTTCCCCGAACGTTGTGACATCGGGACGTCAGTCATCTCAGTCCCCCGTGACCATGGGTGCTGGAAAGCGCCCGAAACGTCGGGAATTAAAAATAATAGTAAAATAAACGCGACAAAATCCGTAAAAGTAGTTTTAATCAATTCTTGTAACATATCAATATTAGAGTCACCTCCTATAATTATATTGTGTTTAGAATTTTTTTTATTTATATAGATATAGTTTAAGATATACTGTAACCGATTATAGAATGCGTCTTCCTCTCTTATATTTTCCTATATTTTCTTCTGGTACCTCCACTGCACACACTTCTAATACATACATATTCTATTGACATTTTGCCTTACTACATATTTTAGAACATTTTTCAACAAGATACAAATTTAACCGTCAACGCGGGGTTTTTCACAGAATGAAGAAGCTATCCTATAATTTGAAAATTGTATTATCTATAGTTTTTCAAGCTTTAGCCAAGATTCTGTGACACATATTACTTGAAACTGTGGCAAGTCTATCAAAAATGCTTCTAGTACGTCTTGTTTATTAAGATGCTCTAAATGCCAAAATAAATCCGAAAATTAAATGTTGTGCAAGAAGATATTTAAAAAAGGGAGTCATTCGATTTTCATAAGTCATCATCATCATCATCATTACAGCCCTTTACAAGTCCACTGCTGAACATTGGGCTCCCCCAAGTAACGCCACAAAGCACGGTCCTGAGCCACCTGCATCCATCGACTTCCTGCATGTCTTACCAGGTCGTCACTCCATCTAGTGGGGGGTTACCCTACACTACGACTACCGGTACGAGGCTGCCACTCGAGAACCTTTCTTCCCCATCGGTTATCGGTTCTTCGAGCTATATGGCCAGCCCATTTCCACTTCAGCTTACTAATCCGTTGGGCTATGTCGGTCACTCTGGTTTTACTGCGGATATCCTCATTTCTGAGTCTATCACGCAGAGAAACTCCGAGCATAACCCTCTCTATACCTCGCTGAGCGACCTTGAGCGCCCTCATACAGCCAGCAGTAAAGAACCAGGTCTCAGATCCGTAAGTCATCACTGGCAACACGCACTGGTTATACACTTTAGTTTTCAGAGATTGAGGTACACCTGACGAGAAGATGTATCGTAATTTCCCGAACGCTGCCCAGCCGAGTTGAATCCGTCGATTGACCTCTCGGTCGAAGTTGGACTTACTTAGTCGGATTAGTTGTCCCAGGTAAACGTACTCGTCAACAACTTCGAGCATAGTGCTCCCAACAACTACCGGCATAGGTGTGACATGGACATTAAACATGACCTTTGTTTTGTCCATGTTCATCTTAAGACCTATCCGTTGGGAGACACCACTGAGGTCATTGAGCATAGTGCTAAGGTCCTCCAGCGATTCTGCCATAAGGACTATATCGTCGGCAAATCGAAGGTGAGTGATGTACTCGCCATTGATGTTAATACCGTATCCTTTCCAGTCCAGTAGCTTGAAAACGTCTTCCAACGCAACGGTGAAGAATTTCGGGGATATAACATCACCCTGTCTTACACCTATCTGCAGTTGGATAGATTTCGAACTCTGGTTCTGTACTCGGATAGCCATCGTAGCCCTACTGTACAAACACTTCAGCACTTCGATATACCGACAGTCAACTTGGCACCGCTGAAGGGACTGTAGCACCGCCCAAATTTCGACGGAATCAAAGGCTTTCTCATAGTCCACATATGCCAGGCAAAGTGGCAGATTGTACTCTTCGGTTTTCTGTACAATCTGCCGCAGGGTATGTATGTGGTCTATGGTACTGAAGCCTTTTCGGAAACCGGCTTGTTGGGGAGGCTGGAAGTCGTCGAGTCTGCGTGCGAGACGATTCGTAATGACTCTCGAAAATAGCATGTAGACGCGGCTCAGAAGCGAAATCGGTCTGTAGTTCTTCAAGAGCGCGTTGTCGCCTTTCTTAAAGAACAAGACCACCGCGCCTCTGCTCCACGCCTCCGGAGTAGTGCCACCATGGAGGACGGAATTGAAGAGCTTCTGAAGGACTTCAAGTGCCGGTGTTCCACCCGTTTTCCGAAGCTCCGCTGTAATTCCATCCTCGACCGGGGCCTTGCCGTTTTTATGGTGGTGGAGAACCATTATAATCTCGCTCAGACTGACGTCCGGGATATCATCGGAATAATGGCGGATAAGACTTGCTTTTGGATCGTTACTCACACTTGCGAGTGGCTCCAACGATGATGTGTACAGCTGCCCAGAGAACCTCTCAATCTCACTCAGAATCTCTGGTGTCCCGGAAACGATGTTGACGATTTTCATAAGTAACTTAACAAAACTATTAGGATAAGTATTTAGATTTCTTAAAAAAAGGTTCTGATTTGGACCGAATAATCTATTTTCAAAATCACCATATAATACCAATTCCCAAATAACTTTATTTCCCCTTTAATTTGGGGAATTCCCCACATGTTGGAATTTTAAATTTATGATTTATCAAAATGCAGATGTGTTGTCACCCCGGGGACTAAGATCGAATGCCTCGATCCCATTAAAAGGGTCTCCGGTTCTCTACACTCACCATACGAAACACAACAGCATTAAGCTGATATTTCCTGCTGGTATTCTGTGAGAGCGTAGTCCTTCCCAGGAGTCGACTAATTCGTGTTACAACTATAATATAGCTGCAGTTTGGCTCTGCCACGTTAAACAGGATTTAAAAAATTTAATAACACTCGATCTTAATAACATTTATTTATTTATTTATTATTTATTTATTTTTCTTTACATACTTCAACTGAACCCTAATCATGTTTATTTTTATTTAATCGTTATGGACTGAAAACCCATACTATGTATTCAATTACTCTAAGTGACACGGGCGACACGGGTCGGCTGTGTGAAAGGGAAGGGTAGAGTGAGTGAGTGAGTGTAGAGAGTACAGTAAAACTAATGCATTCTTTTGTATGGAGCTAGATAAAAGAGTAAGACCTATGCATTGTTTCGTCATATTTATTCTGTGGTTTCGTACCGAGCTTAATAAAAGAGTTCAACGTCCGCGCGTTTATAGACCCTATAATCAGCTGGTACCATTTTTATTTTCATTGCTGGTTTTATTTTTAGTATTTTAAGCTGTATAACTAACATGATGAAGAGTGAAAAAAGCTAATAAAAAGTTGTGAAAAGATGATTTTAAGCTATTGCATAGCTTTTATGGCGGGTTTTGAGCGCGGCGACCGAATCAAGAAATTTTATAACGAAAATAAGCCTAACATTCCCACTCCGACCGGCACAGCGGTGCGGCGTTGATAGCCGTGCATCGTCTGACGTCATTTCAGTTCGGCAGACTTCGGCACGGTTTTGTGTGCGTGCGATAAGCTGGGCTAGCTATTTACCAAAATAATAATAATGTTACTATAATTGTGACTCCAAATATTGAAATAAATATTGCACACGTTAGCGATGTTAATGTTAGGCACTCATTTGTTGGATATATTTGTGCGTGCTTATGCAAACTTAGAAATGGCCCACACATAGTCATTGTAGCAATTGATATTTCTCCGAATCCAAAATTAGACGAGGTAGAGCATTTTATTCATCGCATTTTACTGGATTACACTGAAGAGAGTCGAAAATACTTGTTACAAATGGTAATAAATTTCCACTTATCCTGGCCGGCGATTTCATTATCAACTTCGCTGATGAAAAATCAGAGTGCTTGACAACTTTTCTTTCGGAAATATTGAATTTTTTGAAAATGAATAATGATCTACAAGAATCCACAACAAAATATGGGACCACCATTGACGCGGTATTTTC